AAAAAATAGCCTAGCGGGGCTGATTTTCAAAAACAACCTGCCATTTTGCTTCTGCAAATAATTGTAGAGGCACAATTCTAACAGTTAGATGTCTAAGTGCTTGCATCCATCTACTAGGAAGTTGGAGATCTAACTACAGTAAAATGTGTGCAAACTTGCAAAACTGGAGGGAGGTTTGAGATGCTTCTAAAACTGATCGATCAATCAATCAGCAGGTAGACGACTTTCCAAAAGTTTATGAGAACAAAATGTCTTTCTTTTTTTTGCATGAGGTCAGAATTGCCCCAAGAAAGAATCCTGGAGTAGCCCACAAAATAAGGGTCTTTGGAGCTTCCTGGATTAATGTTAAAGAAACAATCTACTCCTGCTGGGGTTTCATATTTGTATCAGGAACACAAAATGGGGGCTGGACTATGGGCACACTATTTGTGTTTGCTGCCTTCCTCTGGCACTATAGCTACTTTAGCATCTCAGTTTGACTGTTCAGTTTGTCAGCTCTCTGGGACACACTGCTGTGTGCTTGCAGCTGTGTTGTCCTGGTACCCACCTTGTGCCAGCTGCCTGTATAGGTGCCCACCGTGACTAGCTCATTAGAAATACAGACTCAATCAGGTACCTGGAATAGGAGGTCTGAAGTGAGAAGGAAGATGGCCTCTTCTGAATGATTTTAACCCCTCTGCCCAGAGTGGCAAAAGCAGCATCCAGCATTGGTTACCAGACTCAATGTTTCTGTTCCTCCCTGTCCTGTGTTGCTGCCCAGGGCAATACCAGGCAAGAAAGCATTCTTTGACAAAGAGGCAAAAACCACTGTCTCCTCTTTTCCAGAATAGGGAAAGCTTTATAAAACACAAAAGATTCAGTTTTGGTGAGGGCATGTAGAGTGAATTTTAGAAATGCTACACAGCTTTTACAAAATATTTGGGAACTGTCCTCAAAAGAGAAAGAATAGGACATGACTCTATGTGTGACTCCCAGCAGCGTAAGATTCTCTCTGTTACTCATGCAGGATGGAGCAGAAAAGATCTGTCAGTAATGTTCAGTTTACACATGCTTTTCACTTAAATACTTGACAGAAGAAAGTTTCATTGCTTTATTAAGCATATTTTAGATCTAAGAAATGATAATTGCTGTATATTTGAAAAACTACTCATCGCTTGTGGCTTGCTTATTAACTTACCAGAAACTGGCCCTTAGGACATAGTGGCCTGACTCCCATGCAAAAGAATTGTTGGAGTGAACACAAACACGACAGACTCCTATTTTAAATCCTGTTTATATTGCCAGTGTGGTGCAAACTGTCTGTGACTCTAAGAATGAACCATTTAAAATGTCTGTAACGCAATAAAAATTGCTGGCAATTGCTGTGCCATACTTCCCCTCAAACTAAACTTTGCATTCAAGGATAAATGTATTCACGAATCTTAGTTGCTGTTCACACACACAAAAGTATAAATATTATTTGAAGTTGTTCATTCATCTGGTAAACTCCTCCCACCCTCATCTTCTCTCTTGCAATTACCCTTTGCCCCTTTCCTCCAGAGGCTATTTCTTCCTAGCTGGTATGTTTAACCATCCTTAAAAAGGATGGCCTGGCTCCTGCTGCCCATCACATATGGGCTAGACTTGACAGAGGGCCATCATCCAAGGAGGGTTGAGTCTTGGAACCAGGATTTACAAAGGGTCTCCACCAGTGCTCAGCCTCTGCTGTGATAAGGGTTACTGTTTCTCTCAGCTTAGCAGAAGCACAAGAGATCCAAAATGGTCATCTTCACCCCTATCCCTACAGGAGCATGCCCATAACAAGTAGCCAGGTAGCCTTCAAAGGTGAGCTGAAGATTTAATGGACAGCTTAGAGCAGCCTAAAATGTAAAGGTAGCTAACCATCTTGCAGCCTTACAGCAGGAAGGAGGCAGGAGGGCAGGAGTGGAGGGGCTGCAGCCAGGGAGACAGGTAAAGTGGCCTGGGGCCTGCAAAGTGGAGGCCACTGCTGGGCCATTTACTTCTTGTGTAACAGAAGCTTTAATGTTGGCTTTCTACACCACTGGGAGGTGCCTGATGTGCAGGCAAGCAGGCTACTGCTGCTACAGCTTGTTCCTGGCAGCTTTTGAAGCAGACAAAATGGTGCAAGAAGGCTTAGCAAGCTATCAGATGGGTTTTCCACTCTACCTCAGGAGAGGAAATGAGACTGCAAAAGGGGATTGATTTTCTGGTCAGTCTGGCTCATCAACTTAATGAGCAATTCACTCATCTTCCTCTCAAGGTCAGCAAAATGACAGTGTGTGTCACTGTGCCCTTCAGGACATTTTCTGTTCCAAGATTTGCTCAGTTTTCAGTTAACCCTCACAGAGTTAGTGGCTGGTCCTGGGAGTGCTGGTGCCTGGCCTGCCATGTAACTCGAGAAGAGACAGTTTGGCAGGGAGTTAAAAATACACACTGTGGAGATCTGTTTCCTAGTCCCTCTCTTGGGGACCATATGTGGCAGTGGTGGAGCCTTTGGAACATGTGTCACATGTAGCATGAACTGACAGTCTAATCTGAAGTCACTCCAGTTGGGTACAAAGACCACTTTAGGAGAAGCTTGCCTGTTTATATAGGTTTCAGATGACTTCATTTTTAGAAGTGTATGGAGTGCATCCAAAGCAAATAATTTTTCTCCGGTGAATGGGAAGACCAAAAGGAGAAGTCCAGAGAAAGAAGGATGGATGGTCTTTCTTAATGTCAAAGCTGACATAAACACATCTCCTCCAAACTCTTCTCGCAGGATAATTTTCTCAGCAAGACACAGATTGCTTCAATCTCTGTGTTGCAGTCTTTGAAGCTTCCCCCTCATTGATATAATGAAGGAGGCATGGTTTTCTTTGAGAATTTCTGCAGCCCTGAAGGTTGCCTTCTATAAAGGCTTTCACATGATCAGATGGTTGTTCCAAAGAGCTCTCTCTTTGAAATTCCTCTGCCATCACACAAGGGCAAACTGCAATGTCTTCTTTGCAAAATTATTAAATTAACAAACAAACAAACAAACAAATAAGGCTTCATTAAAAATATTCTGACTAGCTCAATTTTCATTAGACAGAGGCCCAGCTAAGAAGATGACAAATGGTGTTGGAAAGGAGCCACCAATTAGGAAACATCAATTTTTCTGTCAACAGGATAACCCCTTTTACAAAACTTGTCATGTGTTTACTCCTTTTCTGTTTGTGAAGGTAGTTGTTTGACAGCAACATTTTGCATGAGGGGAAGGATTTATAAATTGTTTTTTTACAGTTAGCATTGCTGCATTGTTTTGAGTTCCTGTTTTGTGGGATATTTTCCCTGTTCAGGGTGCTTGCTCCTCAGTCTGCCTGCTGTCTGTAGCTCTTCCATTTGTAATCATTGGAGAGAGGGCGATGACTCTTCTTGTTTCTGTAGGAAGTTCTGGGGTGGAAACAATTGTGGTGGTAGGAAGCACCTTGTGAGCATAGGACTTATGACTTGCAATACCTTCAGGTAGCTTAGAAATGCTACTGTATGTGTATTCTGAAAAGGAAGAAAAACACATTTCTGAGCATTTCTTTGTTTAAAAAAATATCCTTGTTATGCTTACATCCTAATAAATCTTCTTCCATATTTAATAATCTAGGATACAACTGAAGACATATGGATCTTTTTCCAGTTTACACATTTTCTCTACCCGCATTTGGAAAAGTTGATAGTTTCCACTCTCCTTTTACTTACTTATAGAAAATGCTACTCACTTGTCTTATGGAAAGCTGTATACACCCTTCATTCATCTGCATGCAGTGATTCACAGCTACTGCTGCGTTTCTTAATAGCTTATTGCAAGTCATTTTATGAAATCATCAGTAGCAAATGCTCAACAAATATTAGGACAAGAAACTAGGAAATTCTTTATTCTTGGGCATATGGGTAATATAGGGAGAGAGTAAGAGCTGCCTGTGCATGTTATATTTGGCAAGAGACTGAATGAGAAGGACAGATAGCTGGTGAGATTTTAGATGGGCACTGGTAGATGCTGACATGACCTTAAAGCCTGTCAGTTGCTGATGTGGGAAACCTTGCTACAGGAAATGGAGCCTTATGATGGCTTTTGAGGAGTGCTGAGAAGTTACTATGTAATGGGTATCTTCTGGGTCACCACTGCCTTGTTGTTTACCTGTGTTGTGGAGAGGGGGAGATTTTGTGCGGAATAGTTAAAGAGTGGAAGGCCACTGTTTTGGTAAGTGGCCATTACTGGTAGGTCAGGTACACATATCATCATCTGGTGTCAGGTCATGCAGCTCAGTGCTCAGCTATCAGCTGCTTTGAACATGTACATTAGTGAGTGCAGTTGTTTTATCCTGGATACAGACCACATGCAGATCCTCCACTAGTGTCTAACACAGGCATAGTTATGGTTTCACCTGTCCATGTCTGATCTGAAGCACTCATTACTGTTTTGACACGAGACACAATAATAATCACCTCACTACCTCTAATGTGTGATAGTTCAGTGCCTGAACACATCCTTTTGGGTTTGCCTTGGGGAAGGCAAAGGTTAAGGCATGTTTTGGGGCTCTAAACTGCAATTTCCCAATTAATTTTTAAGTATCTTTATATTGCAAAAGCAAAAGCCTTTCTCTTCCATAAAGCCTTGCTGTTTATATTCAGGGTGGAATTTGTGGGGTTTTTTTAACTCGTGGTTAAAGCTGAATTGCCTTACCTGGGACCTTTGTCCCCAAGCTAAACTGCTATCACTGCTTGTGGTAGAGTGCAGGAATCCCTGTGGAGATGGAGGCTGGGCAGCTAGGGGAAGCTTAGTCCTTTCCTGTAAACAACTGTACTTGGGGGGGAAGTTTTCCAAAGTACCTAAGTGATTTAGGATAAAAAAATCTCCATTTCATTATTTCCATGCTCTGGAGTCAGATAAACTTTTTTCAAAGTGTGATTCTGTCCTGCTTTTTGCAATGCTATCTGCCACAAAGACACCCTCTTTTTTTACCTATCTTGTTCCTCTTTTCCAGGTTGGCCTTCCTTTTATGATGTGATCAGTCCTGATGCAATTGCTTTCAACGATGATTTCTCCTATGGGATGCATCGGATTGAGATATCCTGCAGTCAGGTTAGCTTATAGCACACTCAGACCATTCCAATGGCAAAGGCTGCAGAAACCATTACAGTGTGATGTACTTTCCTTGAGATTCGCAAACCTTTCAGTTCTATTAAATAGTAATAATTGTGAGAGAGCACAGTGGGTCGTAGGCATAAAAGCTGGGTGGAATGAGCTGAAGGCACAAAGGGATCGTTGGAATGCACATTGCATGTCTCACGTGAGATCTAACAGAGCAGATGTAAATGGTTGGACTCGGTGCTGAGTGTACAAAAATAGTCTTCCTGAAGAGGGTCCCTTCAAAGGAGCTCCTGAGCCTGAGCCTGTCCGACTGACTCCACATGTGAGCAGCTGAGAGAAGTTGAAAGCAGTGGAGCAACTGTCTGTGTGCTGATTCCATCACTCTACATTACTGTGCATCCATGCTAACTTGCTCCCAACACTCATTCCCAGTGCAGTTCTAATGGCTGCCTCAAATAATCCCATCTGCCATAATAATGAAGTCAGTAGCCATTCAAAACATGCCCAAATTTTCCGTTAATCTGTCTTGTTCTACTTTCTCTCATCCTTTGTGCTGCCCTCCTTTCTGTGAAGGGAATGCCATAGTCATTACCTAGCAAAGGGAGAAGCTGCTGCATTGGTGTTCAGCAGCTGTAGCCAGCAGCTTGCAGTCCTCTAGCTCCACATTCTCAAACTCCTCCTGAGAGAAGGAGCAGCTTTATTTGGGCAGTGATAATTTGCTCTTCTTCCAGTATTGTTGTGGGGGTAAGGGATTTTATCCCTGACAATATGCATTCTTACTAGTCAGTCAGACCTCATTATATAAGGCTCAGAGTGAGTGGAGAAACTTCTCAAGAGTATCCATTAACTTCAGTCTGCATAGAGCATTTGGCCCAATATGTTAATGACCAAATTAGGGTGTCTGCTAGTTTGTCAGTTTGTCAGTTTGTATACTGTGAAATTCTGAAGTTTTTACATGGATGATATGCTGTAGAAGATCCATTCATCACTTTGTGGGAATATCCACTTCCCTAAACCCTCATGGCTACCTTCACTAGCAAGGTAGCCATGAGACAGCAGATTGGGAAGCTCATGCTGCAGCAGTGGTTACTGGCATAATCAAAAATGCAGTCCAGTCTCTTTAGCTCTGCTTAGTAGGCCTGAACAGTGCTAAAATCTGCTTATGGCCAACTTGCTGAGCCTGTATCTGCTGACACACTTCAGGAGATGGCCAGAGCTCCTGGAGAAGCCCAAGGAAGCCTGTGGTCAGCCAAGGAATCTGGGAATGTTACCTGTTACCAAACAAAGTAGTGTTAAAAGACCTGAGACCAGCAATATTAGCAGCAATCACATGCAGACACCATAAAATCAAAGCAAAACTAAAATCTGAATTTGAAGAAAAAAATATGACCAAGATCATATTTACTGTATAATCCAATAGCAACTTCCTACCTGCTATTCCAGCTTCCTGGGGCAATAACTCCATAGATGATCAAATCACACAGGAAAATAGCTTGAGGGGTGGTGAGCATCTTTGCAGCCAGTGCTCAGCACAGCTAGTACTGCTCCATTGTGTATCTGCCCCTGGACTGTGAATCACAAATGCAGCTGCAAAAATAAAAAAATGCAGTTTTACTGGAACAAAGCAGTGGGGTTGATATGACAGACCTTGGTAGAACCAAAGGCAAATACTATCTCCCACACCCAAAACCTTATTAATCCTTTGCAGATGAAAAAGTAGTTGATTTTTCTTTGAAAGTTCTTCCAACCTGTCTGAGAGAATAAAAGAAATATTTTTTAATGTTCTTCACTATAGAAAGCAAACACAGAGGGAAAATCACTGTAATATTAATCAAATACATCCATGGGATTATCCTAGAAATAACTTTCACCGTTTTTGGAACACACCCTGGGTGTATTTAAATGGTCAGTGATTAGTGATAGGTAGAAGTTAATACAAATGCAGTTGAGGAATACTGTAAAACTGGTTGCATCTCTTTTTTTTCCTCTGTCCTGTTCAAGCATCCATTTCCCTGTGGTCTCCCTACCTACTATTTTTCCTGTGCAAATCAATAAAATTCCGTAGTCACAAGAGTAGTGTTTGCACACCAATAGCTTGGGCTCTCCACTGCAGCAGCTGACTGCAAGCTGCTTTCCATGCCTCCCAGCAGTATATTAGAACCAGGAGGCTTGGGAGATCCAAGCATACTGACAGTTAGCTGTGACCCCCCCCGCCCTTTCCTGCTCCCAAGCACATACTCAGAATGCTTTAACCATTTCACTGTCCCAGTTCATTCTGCCCAATGTATTTATGTGCAAGGCTGCAACAGATAATTATTTCTTTTCCAGAGGCTCTGCAGGCATGTACATATGTCCTAGAAAAATGATCAGCACCTATTATGTGTGGGGAGGACAGTAAAGTCAATTCATCCTTGTACTCTCAGCTGAGTGCCAGGTTTCTTATACTGTGATACAAAGGACTGAAATACATTTCTGTTTAGGGCAGATGAGTTATAGAGTCCTCTATACAGAGAATCGCCACATAAATTTTTGGTGAGGGGTAATCTCAAAAGGTAACAAATTTTGCAGTAATTCAATCCTGGAGTGATTCTGCCATCACAAAAAGGTGTAATGAGACTGCCTTGGACTCTCATACAGCTTCTCAGGTTTTGTGAGGAAAACCTTTTTGATAGATTGTCTTTGTAGTCTGTGTGTGAATATATTACTTCTATAGACCATTTCTCTCCGCAGTTTCTCTTGTTCTGTTTCTGTCCAGTAGAGAGGGAGTGATTTATCTTTTGTTAAATGTTAGTCTGGAAAAGATCTGTTTAACACTTCCAGCCAGGAGGTTTTGAAGCACTCTTAGTTGAGATCAGATGATTTAATTAGGATGCTGAGCATTTAGAAAAATACTCTCCCTGGGACACTTAATTCTTTTTCCCCCCAAAGGTATGCTTATAGTCAGGTGAAATGCTTCATTGTTAGATGCCCCACATTCAGAAACAGCTCAGTTTTTTTGCACATGCTAACATAAAAAGGGCCTTCAATGTAAAGGAAAATGATAAAAAGGATAAGCAGTGGAAAATGGAGGAAAGGATGGCAAGACAGCAGTCTTTCAGGAAGAAAACTTGAAGCTTAGTTTTCTCTAGGTCCCATTCAACTTCCTTTTACTTACTTCCCTTGTTTTATCTTCCTTCCTTAAAAAGCTAAGCAATTGCTGCTTAACCCAGCCATGCATGCCATTTTCCTTTGCCTGTGGGAGTGTGTTCTGCTGATACCACAGGCTGGAAGCCCTTGGTTGTTATTGGGATCCTTGCTGGACTGCCATGGCTGTCTCAGTGACACTTCTTCAGATGCAGGGAGCCTGCTGTGGCATGTGGGATGTTTTTGCATGGGTGCAACCAACAGGTGGGAGCACTGAAGCTTCACATGTCTACCTGCCCTGCTCCTGAAGGCAGTGAAGATTATTGTTTCAGCTGTCATTAAATGAGCAGAGTTTCTGTCCCACCTAGCTGGTGTGAGAGCCTCCCCAGCCTTTCAGTCTACTGAGAAAGTTTAACCTGGAGGTGAAACTACGTGCTTCTACAGACTTTTCCTGCTACTTTGGTGAATTAAAGGCCATAACAGCAGGAGAACATTAGCAACACATTAACTGCAGGGTAGAGATTTGCCATCACTAATTCATTCAGAGTTTGGAATAGTCACTATTGCCTCTACGTATTTGGAATCCTATGAATTAATTAAATGTTAAGAATAATTTGCAGTCTTTAATTTTCGCTGTCTGACTGTGAGCCCATGAGCCGGTCTGTGATCTCAATTACATCATTCCACCTCTCACTGAGATCTGCTATTGACTTGACAGGCCAAGGCTCTTTGGTAAAGCAGCATGACTTTCCTGTTCAAGATAAATATTTCTCCAGTGCAAGGTTTTAGTTTTTTGTTTCTCATGGCAGGTTGTAAAAATGAACTTGTGGAATTCAAGTGACTAATTACAAGAAGTTCTTATCCAGATAAATTGTCAGGCATAATGTGCAATGATAGTAATGTTAATTTTTGAATAAGGATCAGCAGGATTAGCTTCCTCAAAATACTGTATTTGTAAAGTCCTTATAAAGCAAAGGACTGCTACCTTTCTTACTGACAAGATCAGTAGTGCTCACCCTGAATAGCACTGCAAGTATTTGGGTCTGATTCATACAGAGCAAAAGGGGCAGCAGACCATTTGTACTTTCTTATTCCTTACAAAAAGCAAAATTCAGTATCATTTGTAATTACTCCCAGACAGAGATTATTAGTTAAAAAACATTTACATATCTGCACTACAGGTCTTTTTCAGTCACCTGTCCCTGTCTTGTATGTACCAGAGAAATTATTATGAGATGAGTGGGTTGGGCTCCATCCCCTCCAGGGTCAAGAAGTACACCCAGAAGGACCTTGATGCTCAGAAGAGTGCCAGACTATAGAAAGGGGGGAAAAGAAAGAAATGTGAGAGTACGCTCCAAAGAATATCTTTAGTGCTTTAGGTCCTTGCCAGGATCACCAAAGGGTTTAATTTTTTTTTACCAAGGGGTGTAGCAGATGGTTGCAGGCTGAGGAGAGGCCAGAGCTGAGGCTGTCCCATTCTTACTCAGATATCCTTACAGCAGTAAGTGAAGCATGGGCAGTGCTGTCCTCACCACCATGCTTTTAGCTGTGCTCCTGCCATGAAATCATTATCGAAACACCTCAGAGATGGTGGTCCAACCAAGCGTAGGTGACAGGAAACACCCTGGAAATTTGGGCTTGGAGTCTTTGGCGCCTGTGGTATCTCAGAAGATCATCTTCCTGGATCACTCCTGCAAATAAATGTAGATTGTAAATCCCACTTGAAAGGGCGATGTAGGCACCAGTGGCTTTCTTGGAAGCAGCTGCCAGTCATTGCTTAACAGCGCAGCGATGACACCAAGCGAGCGGCACACAGACACACTGATACTCTATTGTGTTTTGTTTCAGTGTGGGGCTCACCTGGGGCACATTTTTGATGATGGACCTCGCCCAACTGGCAAACGGTACTGCACAAACTCTGCTTCATTATCTTTCAAGCCAGCAGACAAGAACAACGCTGGAGAAGGCAGCGTTAATGCCAGTCCTGCCCCAACAGGCAAAGCTGAGCTGTAGGATGAAGCAAAGCCTGCAGAAAACTGCGTTGATCCCACACAGCTTACAAGGAATGTTTTCTAGTTTTCAAGTTGCCTGCTCTCTTATATCCTAAGAATGTTCAAATGTATGAAAGCATTTTGCACCATCATTCTTCTTCCTCACCTTTTCAGAACTGAGGCCTTTCCTGCCAGTGCATTTACTGTATAATTGGATTGAAAAATGTATTGACTGAGTCCACAGGTTTTCTTTTTTCTTCTCTTTGAGATTGCTTTGGGGAATCTTTAAATTGAGAGGCTTTGACATCATTAGTTATTAGTTTCTTCTTAATACTGTCTTACTCTAGGTTTACACACTATTCCTTTTTGCGTGGGAAATGGGACTTGTGTTTATCTCCAGTCTATAGAAAACTTCTGGGCATAAGAAAATACTGAATTCCTAGCACATCTTTGCTTTGTTCTGACTTGTGAGGCATGCAGCCTTTGGTCATATGTATCCAACCATCTCCCAGCATCAGCCAGCCGCACCTTGCAAGAACTTGTAGTTATGGCTGTTCCTTCCCAACTGAAAGAGATGGATGAGATGTTAAAAGCATCCTTTGGCTAATTTACTGCCAAAATTTCAAGGGTGTGGTTGAGAGGATGTAAACATTGTCTCAGCATCTGTGTTTCCCCTTTGTTTGGTAATTTAAATCAAGGTTTTAACTAGTAAGGCTCACTTTTGCAGGCTACTAATGAGGCTTTGTCTGTTTGTGAGGCCTATTCAACAAGTGTAACGCAAATCTGAATTAAAGTTGAAATCTGCAGGGGGTAATTATATGGGCAAGTGCAGAGATAAACTTGCAAAGTGAAGTAGATGAAGGATGACACTAGGCTCTTTATCTTGTTGGTTGCTACAAGGATTCAGAAACATGACAGTTTCTGCTAGAGAGAAGTTTAGGAATGAATGCAGTAGAAAGAGGGAGACCCTCCTGACATATCCAGTTTTAAAGATTAACTGGTCTGGATGCATACTGCATACAATATCCAGTCTTTAATTTGTGCAATGGCAATGTAGTGGCATGAGTGACAGTGTTGGTGTAAGAAATTAATTTGAAAAAAGTCTGTCACAGTTCCAGAAATTTTCATGTAGCAAAATTCACTGTCCCATGAGATGTTGTTCACAGCTGCTTTTCGATTTTTTTGAATAACACTTAGAATCATGCATAATACTGTTCTTTAAGCTATACTACACAGTATTTGCTACCACTTTGCCTTTAAACACTGAGAGACTTAATGAACACGGTATTTACTTCTACTAGCAAACTTTGTGACTAACATGTTTGGATCCAATTTTATTTTTAGTAGGAACAGAGCAAGCACTGATTTTTATGGAAGCAGGATTGAGGTTTTTATGTCAGTGATAATAAACATGTTATCTGAAGTTCAAACACCCTTCAGTTAAAATATAGCTACTGTGAAAGCATATGGAATGGTCATAATTGCCTTTTTTTTAAAGCAACATTAGAAAGACATGAAAAAATATTAAAAAGGCAGCATCTATAAAAATGTGGTACATAAATGTGGTTTAATTCCAGATTGCTTTTTGATTTAAGTATTATCAAATTTCAGTATATTCCTGCCTTATGTTAAAGAAATATATTACTTAAGCTTCAAAATACAGTAATGTATGCTGTCCTACAGGAGATTTATTTTTGCAGGATATGGAATGCAATGAAATGAATCAATATGGTGAGGTGTATGTGATCTCTGGGAGTTAGATCATTTAATATAGGAAATGCATTGTTCTTGTGCACAAGCTATACGACAGTGCAGTGCAAGGTAAGATACATTTCCTTTTATTGCTCTTAGAAGATGCTAGTAAGGGCTAGTATTGAACCCTCCAAATTTGGTTCAGTCTGGTGATGATCCTGACAGAGGAAACGTGGGAGCTGAGCACAATGTACAGAATAATAGAATATTTCTGTATGTTTAAATTTTGCACTCTCTAGATGCTTATAAAAACTGAATGCATAAACGGTGTAGAAATAGCAAACTATATTTTCTAATATCTCTATTTTAAATATGATGTTTAAATAAGATACCTTAAAATCATGTAAGTCACATGTTATTTATATATACTATATATATATATATATATAAAATTGCACATGTTTTTTATATATATATACATACACACACCTATATTATTTGAGTATAATTTTAGCCTTCTGTACCTTTATAATAACTAAAACCTTTCCATAAGAGGGTTCAATACTTTTAAGAAATCAAATATACATTTTTCAAATCAAATTTGTTTTCATATATTTGCTGTACACAAATATAAAATAAATTTCTTTATAAATAATTCTGTTTTGCTTCCTTATTTATCTGGTTTTATGTCACGTTTCTGCATCCTTCACTGCAGGGTGTCTTAGGGAACTGCTTGTACTTTGCTTTCTCCTAACTTACTGTGAATATTGCACATACAGTACCTTATCTCCAGCAGGTTTCTGGCAGGGATACAGCACTGTAGGGTACCAGGTATCCTTGCACCTACCAGCTTTCAAGAGACTATCACAAACACCCAGGCCTCAGCAGAGCAAGGAAATGTATAGAGAAAGGCTCAACTTTAACTCAGCAGAAGTTTTAGCCTCTTCCAAAAGATTCAGTGTGGGATGTGGTAAGTTGCAGGCAAGCATGTCATAGGAGCCCTGCAGTGCCCAGGCTCCATCTGCAGTGGGGAAGTGTAGCTGGCAAGTTGCTTTCTGCCAAATTTTCATCTCCAAGGTTTGGAGTACTACTGCACAGGCAGTAGGTTATTGCCACTTGGTAAATCAGCCCTGCAGTGGGTTTTAAAAGATAGCTATAAGGGAGGGGTAGGAGTTGCAGGCTGTGTTTAAGCTAGCTTCCATGTGTATGTTTGTGGGAACCAGAGAGTTACACTGAAATTAAATCCCTTGCTAATTGTTCTCAAACATTGCCAGTGTCTAGGTGACACACTGCACACCTGTTTACAAGTTTAGTATGACACCTCTTAGTCCAGAAATTAATCCCTTGGGACTCTGTGTCCCACCCATCCACTGTACTTCCCTCTGAAAACTGTAGTAGTTTGACATGTCTTAAATGAGGTACTAACTTGTACCCACTAAAAGGAGGGGCAGAGCTGGATGCCCTGTGCTGGCTTTGCCCTGTGCTCCCAGCACAACCTGGCCAGTCTGTCAGCACCCAGAGGTGCTGTGCTGAGGCACATCTTCAGAGGCATTCATGCTTTTGCTGGTGCTGCCCTGGCAGCAGACATGGAGCATGGCTCTGTGCTCCAGTCTAGCTCAAGGCTGGCTGCATCTTGCAGTGCATGGCATGCAGTTTTTCTTAACACACATGTGTGCTCCACCACTTCAAAACCAGAGAAATTTCTAGCAAGAGATACTCTCCTAGCTGTTCCTGGTGTTCCCCAGGGTGCCCCAGACACAGGGTGGGAGAAGCAGTGGTGGCAGGATCAGCTACACAAGGCCAGTTAACCATCTGCTTTGAGATTCTCTTGTTGCTGTGGCTTTATGCCTTCCACATATAAAAGGCACTTGAATTGTAGGCCTTTTTCACGAGCTCTAGCAGGTCTCATTCACTAAAACAAAACCCCAGTGTGTCTATATGAGGTACTCAAAACTGAGGCCCTACCACAGTGACTACAGCACAAAAATAAGACAGCATCATAACTTAGGGTTTCTGTTGGGGTGGCAGCAAAGAATACATTGTCACAAACATGATGCCAAGTGTGGATGTGAATGTTGGTATTTAATTGTACTGAATGGTTCAGTCTTATTTCAGTTGACCTTGTTTTGTAGTCCATTTACCCAATCAAATTTGTGTTAGATATTCTCTGACAGAATTTGGGATACGTGTTCATTTTTTCTTACTGTTTATTCTGTTACAAAATGTCTGTGCTAATGTCACTGCATAGCCAGCAGTCCTCTTGTCCTTTACCCATGGTCTGGGAGGGAACAGGAAATAAGGATGAAAACAAAACAGATGTGTGCACTTTCTGCATTGCAATAAATGATTTTATAAATATACCCAGTTTTTTATAGAATGAATGGCAGAGTATTCAATGGCACCAGAAGGAAATTTGTCAGCTTCCAAGTTCAGTATGACAAAATGTTGCTTAGCACGCTGGGGAAATGGACTAATACTTCTTGTTTTATTGACTATTAAAATGAGGCCACCTACAGGTCCCAAAATAAACCTGCAAAAATGTCTAATCCTGCATATGTGAAGACCTGCATTCCAGTGTGGCTTGCTCCCACTTTGTTGTAAAGAGAAGTCATGCACCACAGGGCCTGACTGGGCTTTTCAGATCAAAGCCATGACAGCAACCAACAGCTGTCTTCCTTTTACAGTCACTTAAAAAACCACAAAGGTGAGGTAATACTTGCAAACATGCCCCAGTGAAATCACTGGAATAGCCAAACCCCAAGCAGTGTAGGCAGGTGACACTCTGAAATCCCTATACACAGGCTACCAGTGTAGCATTAAGTGCACTAAACAAAAAGGTGTCCATTGTATCCACATATTTTTGGGATCGGGACCCACTTGAGCAGCCTAAATTAAGCAGGAAAAATACAGAAGTCTTCCCAAAGACCTCCTAGGACTTGTAGCCAGTCTGCTTGGACATTTTGCTTAGCCAATATAGCCAGCAGAAAAGAGAAACAGTTCCAGAAATGAAAAGACAACAGGCTTCCATTTTCAAAGTCCTGTTTTACTTTTGTTAGACAGCTTGCAAACAGTTAAGACATTTCACTCTGCAGATATCTAAGCCAGTGCATGCTCAATTTTTGCTCTTTGTAGTTTTCCAGACAATGGTACATTATTATTTTCTTTTCACTGTGGAATAAAAACTGTCTAAACAGTTGCTTCATCTTGGCTTAGACCTTGTACTTCTCACTTCTTGTATGCCCAAGTGAAAGGAGCATCTGTTCCTCAAAATACAAACAATTGCTTGTTGGCAATATAAGAACCATGACAAGTTGTATGTGCCCACCTGCTGGGAAAAGTAGCAGTTCTTTGGAAAAGCAATTAAAATGCATCTTTGTTGACCTCTTTAAGAGGACAAGTTGATTTTGTGTGTGGGCTGGTTAATGTTCATGTTTTTCCAGGCTGCCCTAAAGCCCTTGTTCTTACATT